CCAATCTCCATATGACAGATGATTAAAGTGAGGCTAACTGAACTAGCCAAAGCCAAACAGCAAATCAGCATACAACCAGGAATAGAAACCTGAGCTTGACACTCGGTCCACATCTCTTGCCAAACCTCCCTCAAGGCTTCCCACCAATGGCTGCCACAAGTTACTTTTGTCTGATGAGCATGTGTGGCCCGGGTTAACTCTAAAGGTAGTCCCATTTGCACAGCCAACAGAATTACATTACAAATGCGTGTGTTTTTAAAGCTGCTTTACGTGCTGCACAGGGTAACAGGCCATGAGTGGAAAGCCAACCATCAACTGCTTTCATAACTATGGAGAGAGCAGGATTACAAAAGGATTCTGCGAAATATTCACTGACCAGAGCAATGTCTCAGTGGAGACGGCCCTTTTGTTTACAGTCACAAGAGTTCCACAGGGAAAGGGCTCAGATTTTGCAAGTCAAAGTGTTTCCATCTGGAGAATGGCCCACACCATTCTAAAAAAACCAATCTGTGCCATTTTAGTGCTGCTACAATAGCAGCCTTCTGTTTATACAGAACAGGATCAGTGCAGGTAGTTGTGCACTGCCAATGGAACCTCTGGGCCCGAGGAGACAGTTCAAGCAACATATCCCCATCTGAACCTTGAGCTCTCTCCTGAGAAAGCCCACTTATTTCTGGGATAAAGGCACCTATCTGTTGGAAACTATACTGAGACCATCATGTTCATTTCACACAAGACACCAACAGAGGATAACTTTGAGATAAGCTAGATTAGAACCACCAACCTAGTGATGAAGGATTTAGCCAGCGCAGCCCAGCCACCCAGTTCCCATTTACATTTCAAAAGATGTTTTTAGCATTAAGTTTATTTATTAATAACCTTTTCATGGAAGGCAAATTTTTAACTATTGCATTAGTGTGAAAGGGACTGGTTCTCCTCTCACTCACACATTACACTGGTACAAACCCCTGTTTCACTGAATTAGTGGGGTTACTCCTGTTTTACATTTACACTTACAAGAGGAGAATCAGGCCCAAGCACATGGATTGGCAGAAAATTCTTCCTACCAAATAATAACCCACAGGATGCTGCCAAAATCTTTCCAGCTATAATTCTTTTAAAGCAGCTTTTGCTAGTGATCAGCAAGAAATAACAGGGCAGTTGACAACTGAGGAAAGGACATTAACAAGAAGGAAGGGAAGAATATGATATATTTTCAGTCTGCCAAAATGCTCAACGTTAGTCACAGCAGCTGAACTGCAATTGAGAACAACAAACCAGACCCAGAACAGCAGCAGACTTACCTGGAAGATGTGCGTGTGTTGGGAAAACAGCAATGTTTTTGAGATTGATCGTCTGTTCTTTCACCAGTGGAAGGAGAGGGGCAGTTTGGTAAAGAAAATCAGCTGCTTTCGATATTAATAAGAGATGGGACCTAGATGCAAAATTCATATCCGAATCAATGAGACCTAAATTTCAGGGTGTTTGAATGGGGGTTTTTGATGCTGGGCCCATCTCTAATAGCGATGTTGACTTTGAGCTTGGCTTTGCTGCAGAGTTAACTTGAATTATCACTCCAGTGTTGCCTTGCCCCTAACTTGAGTCCCATCCACATACATATAACCTCTAAGATGAGTGTAGTAGTGTAGAAGGAGAGCCGTCACCTCTTGAGCTCTGCGAGTCCCAAACAAGTCTCTGAGTGCCAGCAGCAGCTCCTTTCGCTGCAAGGCCTCATACTTCTCTGCTGCGTGGAGAGCTTTGCAGTCCTTCCTCTGCTTGCTCAGGGTCTCTCCCAGGCATCGCTGCATGGACAACTTTCGCCTAGATCAGACTTCCTAGGAGATCCCCTCCTTGGGAGCTTCCTTTCTCCTCAGGGGCTTTCTTCAACTGACCTCTCCTAAGTTTTTTTATTAGGCCCAAGTTCTCCTAACTTAATGAATTGCCTTCCAGCTACCTAGGCAGTTAACCACCCCATGTGGAGCTAGGGTGGTCAGCTGAACCTGTCACAGGTAGGCTGGTCACCTGACCTGACTCCCCTTTCAACTGGAGCTGGCTGGCCCACAGAGGGTAAACACAGCTCATCAGCTGCCAACAAGACAGCTCCGTGCAGCGGGAGTGTTATTGCACGGCATGGCCATTCTCTCTGGAGCGAGGCTAACTGGAGAGGAATTAACTCACCTGGAGACAGCACAAGTTAGTGCTGCAGTGAAGACACCTTAGCAACTCCAGACATTTGAGAGTACCAGCCAGCAGGAATATTAAAAATGGAGAATGAAGAAGAAATTATTCGAAAGAAGGAATTTAATCAGGACACTGACTCTTGGCTCGTAATGGAGAGATAAGAGGGAGCATAAACACACAAGACATGGAAACCTGGAATGGGCTGGGTGGACCACAGCACTGCCATGTGCTGGCAGCTCAGATAAAAGACAGCAGCGTGATCTGTGCTTGGAAGTATCCTCTATCTCAGAGGTTCTCACCAGAGGTCTGCGTCCCCCCAGGGGGACGCAGACTTCTTCCAGGAGGTTCATCAACTCTTCTAGATATTAGCCTAGTTTTACAACAGGCTACATAAAAAGCACTAGCGAAGTCAGTACTAACTAAAATTCCATACAGGCAATGACTTGTTTATATCGCTCTAAGTACTATACACTGAAATGTAAGTACTGTACAATATTTATATTGCAATTCATGTATGTTATAATTATATGGTATAAAGGAGAAAGTGAGCAATTTGTCAGTAATAGTGTGCTCGGACGCGTTTGTATGTTTATGTCTGATTTTGTAAGCAAGTCATTTTTAAGTGAGCTGAAACTTGGGGTGCACATGACAAATCAGACTCCTGAAAGGGGTACAGTCATCTGGAATGGTTGAGAGCCACTGATCCACCTGCTGCTGCTACTGGAATGCAACCCAACAAAGTAAACTACAGGCCCGATTGGCGTCTCCCCGGGCAATGATATGAATCAGGATGCCATTGAAGCCAAGGGGCCCAAGTCTCCTCTGACTCACGCTGGTGTAAATCAGGAACAACTTTATTGAAGTCAATGGAGTCCCTGGGTGTAATGCCAGGGTAAATGAGATAGGGTTCAGGCCCAGGATTTACAAACCACCCTCCCAATATTCATCTGCTAAAAAAATTCCTGCTGACCCGTTAGCCTTATGATTTCTCAATCCCAGCCCCTTTTGGAATGGTGTTTTCCAGCTGCTCTCCGTCCTTATTTCCCTTCTGTAACACTGATGAAAGGGAATCAGCTTAACCCTACGCTGCTTGGACAACTGTTTGCTACTGTGGGGTTAAAAAAGAAGGTGTTGTGCGTGATACCCCGACCGATGCAGGATCATCTGGCAATAAATTCTCCAGTGGAAATAAACTCGGACTCCTCTTTGCAACTGATATCAGCATTGAGGAGCACACAGTTTCCTGGGCCAGGCAAACATCCCCACAGGAATTTAACCCTTTCTCAGCCGATGCTTGGAGATTTGCGTCAGATTGGGCAGGCTAAATAGGTGCTTAGAGGTTTTGAATATAACCAGTGCCGGAGGTTAAGTCAAACAGCACTGACATGTTGCAGTCACAGCTGTGTTGCGGCCAGTCAGGTGGGGAGACAGCCAAACCAGCCTCAACTACCAAAATGCTGCTGCTTTAAACAGGATCTCAGCTAGCTGCAGTCAGAGCTACCCGATGCCTAACGTCATGGAGCAACATAAATAGCAGGCAAAGGGGGCACAGATTTCAAACACACGTGGCGAGGTAGCTTCTGAGCACCGCCTTTGCAGACACACGGAGGTCTCTCGCTGTCTGCCCAGGCTTGTCCTCGCTTTTGGAAAGTTCTGGCTCCAAGACCCCCTTTAAAAAAAAAAACAACACCACCATTTTATTTTTCCCTAGGAAACTTCAGCAGCTGGATTTAAAAGCCAGGTTTGAGCATGAAGCTTCATTTCTCTTGTAGCTAAATGGAACGTGCCAGGGCTACCGAAGCGGTGCTGGGGGAACAGGCTGGACCAGCTGGGAAACCTGTGACTGCTGAGAGATGCTCTGAACTGCTGCTTGGAGGGAACGAGTGTGTGTGTGTGTGTGTGTAGGGGTGTATAGGCTGTGTATAGGGTGTGTGTGTATGGGGCCAAATGGGGGGGTCTATGGGGGGTGTATGTATGGGGAGTGTAGGGGGTGTATGAGTGTAGGGGGTGTACAGGGGTGTGTGTCTGTGTGGTGAATGGGGATGGGTGTATGGGGGTGTATGGGGGCATGGGTGTGTGAGTATGGGGGCGAATGGGGGTGTGTATAGGGGTTGTATGGGGGTGTATGACTGGGGGGGAGGTGTATAGGGGTGTATGAGTGTGGGGGTGTACAGGGGTGTATGTGTGTGTGTGTGTATGGGGATGGGTGTATGGGAGGGTGTATGGAGGGGTGTGTGTGGGGGGGGAGGGGTGTATGGGAGGGTGTATGGAGGGGTGTGTGTGTGTGGGGATGGGTGTATGGGAGGGTGAATGGAGGGGTG